TTTTGTTTATTGTTTCAGGCTAAGTTCAAACAAATATTTGAAGTGCTATTTACTTTGCGTTCTGGTATTGAAAGGTACAGTCACGGCACTCCGAAACCCAGGAACGTTAGCCTAATGTTTAGATTAAATCAAAATGAATATTATTCGCCTTCTTTTGCTGCGAGCTAATAAATATAACCTTATAAAATTATAGCGTCAAATCATTCTTACCCACAGCTTTGAAATTATTTGAAATAAATTCTTACCGCATTCTGCTCTGAAATATTGTGATACACTTTTCCCTATTTTTACGATTTAATAATAAAATGCTCATTTCAATATCTACTATAGTCTCTTATTTCTTTCAAAATAAAATCCAAAAATGAACATAAAAATTGCATGTTTCCTTCAATTTTGAAATCATTATAGACTTACAAAAGGTTATATAGCGTATACTTTAACCGTATCGTCAAATGCAATGTGGAATAGAACAGTTACTAGTGATTTAAAAACTTTATATATGGCCTGTACCCTAGGGAAGGGAGCAAAAGAAAAAAAATTGTCTTTAGAGAATACTGGAAAATTATGAGCATTTTGTTTTTGATCTGAAACATAAGACACTTAACCCAAGTATACTTAAACATAAAGCTAATATAAATATTGTATTTTAAAAATTCGAAATAAAGCGCTTTATAGCTGTAAGGAAAGCATTATAGGCTTCAGAGAAGGTCACAATTATGCAAATACTGAATTTTAGTAAAAAATAATGATTTGCAAATAAGCGAAATGATGAAGAATAAGGAATAAAAATCATACATTTTTGCTTCCACCAGAATTCATTCTATTATTCTAAAAGCTCATTACACTTTTATCTTCTTGTCCTCAATTTTTGATTCAATCAATGATTTCTCCAAATTTTTTTACTTCCTTGTACGAAGTAACGGAAGTATTGTAATCGCTAAAGATTTCGGATATAATATTTCAACGGAAATATCCATTTTGACAGCTCCCGAATCATTCTGGACGATTTTTGTAGCGTGATTTCGTTATATGGACAGAATAAAGGACTCTTATCTCGCATAACTCAATAATGATCAGCCCTAAAACGTGGAAATTTTGCATATGAGACTGCTATAACCCTTATAGTGAATCTTCTTTTCTTATTGCAATCGGCAGTACCAAACGTGTGTGTGTATATATATATATACACTCACTCCTTTCTCGGCATAAAAGTCCGCACTCGGCCTTTATTTTCCCAATCATTTATCGTAGTCATGTGCTGGAAGTTACAGAAGAAACGAAGAAAATATTAAAAGTTTTCGTAATGTCAAATTAAAAAAAAAAATAATAATTTTCAACAAATAGCGAAATTTAACTTTTAATGTGGTCTCCCGGTTCCTATACTTATATTTGGGGAAATTTTATTCTTGTTACGAAAACTAAGAAGAAAAGTTGATAGGAAGTCTTACTATATATAAAAACTGACTGGGATATTTGCTTTCAGAAGTTGCAACTTTTGTTGTCATTTTTAACTTGCCTTGAGGAATCGGATAATTAAGTTAGAATAAATCCAAGAAATGAGCTTAATGAAGTGCAGCAAAATTATGTATAATTTAATAATGCAAAAATATGTATATAAATAATGTGGCCGTACGATGAATGTCTACATCAGATTTTTTTAGACAAGTAAGCCTGTATTTTGTTTTGCTTTCTAGTCCGTGTTTTGCGTGTTTTCTGTGGGGGAGTGGCAGAAAACTGAATGAATGAACGACTAATAATATATAATATAATAGTAAATTACTGTATTTACTCGCGAGTTTTTCCCTTAGCTTTTTAGCGCAAGGTTCTGAAGAAGTTTTGAATAGTATTCACATAATTTCCACCTTCCTTAAGTCGTTTTGAAAGGTAATTCCACTAAATTTTAGAATGGTATTTGTCCACATAGCTTTTGTTTTCGTCTTACTAATTGATTTGCTCATGGATATTTCATGGGTTTTGATTAATGAAGCAATTATAGAGAGGAGTTTCAAGAAATTGAGGACAGCTAATACTCTTGATGATTCCGAAAATCAAGACAGTCTGAACGGTGACGAAGACGATGACAATAGCGAAGATTTGCAAGACAATATTGGCAGCGATTCCGGCAGCACTGAATGAGTTGAGCCTTAGGGAATAACAGTGAACAACAATAAGATTGCTCGAGATTCAAGATAAAATGAAGCAATGAAGATATCTTATTAGATTGTGCAATGTTGATATTACTATGTATTCTTATCGTAATGTAGGTTTCTTTTCTGTCACCATATCTTTCATAAATTAAATTATTCGCATAATTTTCCCCTCTCAATTTTAGTAGGATAAAATTAGCTGGAAAAAAAGAAGGAAATACAGAAATAAATATGGTATTTAACAGCAGTGTAATTAACTTCCATTTTAAAGGGTGATTCATGCGCAGTTGTTTCAAACATGCATTTCGTTAACCTACTTCGAGTTTATATAAATAAACTGATTTGAATGAAAATTAAGTGAGTAGTCTTAAAAATATTTTGAGAGTGAAAATTAAGTAACTAAATATTGTGAAATTAAATAATTAAAATATTGTCTTCAAATATTGTGTGCGAATTAAGTTATTTAGGCCTTTCTCACAGCACAGTACTCAGAACTGTCTATTGTGAAGTACATTGCTCATTGTTATATAACTTTTAATCAATAACGCGCATTCACGTTGTATAAAACGTTATTTTGTAAATAGTATGTAAGCATTTCTGTGAATCATCATTATGCATTCTGTAAAAATTCCTATAACGTTTGTGTCATCATGATATATGTGATTCTACGAAATTGATGTAAATAATCCTATAACTTATGGCGTGAAACTTTTAAGATTATCATATACTTGTTTACTTGTAGCAACACAAGATTCCAATGTATTTCCTTCAGGGGCCTTGTTTGCTCATGCAATTCCCTCTCGGGCCTTGGGCATGGCGCGCAGATAGTAGTTTTATTTTCCTGTTCAGAGCACACATAATAACAGCTTTAAGCGTAATAGCAAGCCTGTTGTCCTCATGGGGCTGTAGAGTAGAATAGTCTTAGTTATATTTTAATAATAAGTTTAAGAGAATAATTACAATACAACGCCAGTTAACCGAATTCCAACTATCCGAATCTCTGATTAACCTAATCACTTTCAGAATTCAAGAAAAAAAATTAATACTAAAAAAATTAAGAGCGTGGTCACATGCAACTTCTCATTGTCAAACGGATACGCGACTTGGCTGCCCGAAAACGGATGAATACAGTCAAACAGCTTATTTTGACCTAGATGTTCATAGAGCAATGACTTTCAGCACTTGCAAGTGTTCTAGAGTATGCTATAGTATAATGTGTACGTAAAAGTGTTGCCTTATCAATTTAATTAATTAAAACCGCTTTTTCTTTAAAAATAGTTTTTTTCCTACCAATTTTCAATATACAGTAATTATTTAAAGCGTACGTAGACTTGAAAATTGGAATTTTTGTTGATTTACAGCAGAGTCTCAGAGTTAGGCAAAAATACACAATATTTTGATGACGTCAGAAGTGCGCGTGCACGAGTTATATTGGAGTCGACGGCGAGCGTCGAGTTATATTGGAGTCGACGGCGAGCGCTCGCTTGAGCAAACGTACTGATTTTGTTTGTTAAAAAAAGAAGAAAAAAAAAAAAGCATAAAATGCCGAAAAATTAAGATGCACTAAGAATGCATCGCAAGAAGCAAACAGAAAAATTAAAGAAAGATCTATTGAAAGAAGATAATAAAGAACGTTTAACTGTAAAAAAAAGTACGTAACAAGTGATATTAGTTATGACAATAGTAAGAAGAAAATAAAATAAACTGAAATATGAACCTCATTGCCCCAAAAGGGGTATAAACTTATATTTATTTGTTAGGTTTCTCGGAATTTTATAAAAAGTATTGTCGTGTTACCCTCATTGCAGTGCATGAAGTTTTAAAATGATCAATTACATTTCCTTTCAAAAGCCTTCGCCAGATCTATAAGGCTCCATAGAATATCAATACCTGAAGACGTTTACTGTTTAAATCAAAGTGTGCCATAAGAGCAATATCAAGTTGCTGTTGTAGTTATGTAAATTCTATAAGTAACAAACGCTGTAACCGTTTTTTAAATAATTCCTTTGATAAATGGTACCGTCGTTCAAATACGTAATAAAGTAAAAGAAGCCATATTTCAAACTTTATTACAGACAAAATTTTGACCATTATTGCTTTTTTGAAGAATAGTACCTTTTTCAAAAAGGCCATATTTCAGAGGTAAAAAAAAAACGATTTAAACGATTTCGCATCGAAATAAAATTTGATAATGAATCCTGTCAGAAATAAAATCGTAATTTCAACCCACGCTTCTGGAGCGAAAATCGATTAATTTTCCCCAAACTTCAAACTTCGGGGAATGATTTTGAAATATCAGCTTAAGGAATTATATTGGAGCAGTTCTTTATGCGTTAAACTACTTCAACATTCTTTCATCTCTTGTATTTTTTAATTAATGTGTATTAAAAAAATGATGGTTACTGACATGCTATGAACACATATAAATAAAAAAAATCTCTAACAAATTTTGTAAATAAATAGGAAATTACACAGTTCAGTTTTCAGTCTGATTTTCTACCATGCTAATCTTCTAAATAATTTCCATCACTTTAATATTTTAAAGTGAAATGTAAGGAAAAACAATTAGTTATGCGTTAATCAAAACAAAATATTAAATAAAGTCTTTATTTTAAAAAACATTACTTCTTACTTTAAAGGATTTTGTTATGTTTGTTTTGATTTTCAATATCCTGATGATGATTTTATTTTTAGTATGCTAGTGATTCGCAACTACTTCTGTTTTTGAAATTAACAAATGTGTTTATATTTAGTAATTAAAGAACATTCAGTTTTGTTTTTATATTATACCTTTCTTCTTGACTGCAGTATTTTGTTTTGCCATAGTAATATAAAACTTTGCTTTTATTTCAGTTAATATACAGCTGTGCGTCATCTATGCTATTACCAAACTATTGATGCCAACTGAAAATCTCATGATTGCTCTTCTTGAGGATTAAAGAAGATCCAGTTTATGAAAGTCACAAAAAAAACATAAATTTATCTACATGGATCATATGAAATAAATTCCAGTGAGTAAAATAAGTTTATATTCCACGAATATATTTCTATGACAATGATTCAATGCAATTTCGAGGTTTCATTAAAATGCTCATGACATTGTGCTGCTGAAATTACATCTATCTTAAAATCAATACGAAATAAAATATTTCGTTTAATATTTTATAACACTTTCTATAACCTGTTGATATGACTACCCTAACATATAGTGCGAGTGGCAAATTGTAGATGTTCAGTTGCGATCATACAGTTAATTTCAGCTGTAGTTTAAATAAAAGTAATAATTACTGGTATTTCTACATATATAAAAGGCTTAGGCTGATGAAATCATTCTAGTAAGGCTTTCGATCTCGGAAAAAAGATAAATAAAATATAAGATAAATAACAAATCTATAGCTCCAAGATTCAATGAATCATCGCCAACCATACAGCAACTTTATTGTATAGTTTTGAATTTTATTTTAACCCTTTATTATCGTGTAAACTGTTTATCAGTGTAACAGGGTGAGTCAGTATGTTTTTAATTATCTTTACTTATTAATAACACCAACTTTGTTTAAAAAATGTATTGCAATTTGAACAATCACTTTCATGTAGTTTTTTTATTGTTACTTGTAAATGTCAATTCTATAGTTATTGGAAAACGAAGGAAAAGAACTCGAAAAATCGAATGATGACGAAGCCGGCTGTTCAGAGAAGCCAACCCCCCAACAATAATGTATTATAATACTTTCTAACACTATGGAATGTGTACAACATCTTTGAGTGATACCAGTTGAATACTTGGAAGACACTAATAACGTCAGACGAAGCCTATTTTTAAACATATAACATAGCAAATGTCTAAGGCTTTAAGATTTTCGAATGTCTCCTTTGAGCAGCTGCACCATTTTATCCGTAACCTCGTCGATAAAATACATGGCAGCTAGTACTGCTTTCGGATAATGATGCATGGCCCTCGAAATTCGCCCGAGAAATGATGATTTGCGCCAGCACAAAGGAACCGCTGAACAACTCCTTCTACCACTTCAGTATGCTACTGCCCGCACATTCCTCTGCAAAATTTGCTTCTCTCGGTCTCCTCGACTCGAGTCTTATATTTTCGCCAGATACTTTTGAATCACAGTATAGATCAAAGAAATACCAAATTTGATTCCTTGTCAGCTAGAATTATTATTCAGTCTTGTAAGTGAAACATAACTCAGAAAAAATAAGATTAAGTTTTAGCAATATTTTTGACTAAAAGGGGAATATAAAATACACCAGTGCAATAATTATAAGAAAAAATTTCAATATGATTAATTTTTTTTTTGCAATATTGTTGATGAAAAGGGGAATATAAAATGTACCAACGCACTAAATATAAGAAAAACTTTCAATGATTAATTATAATTCTTCATACATGTACTCAATTTCCAGTAAAAGAAAATTTCTATATCTAAAGTTTAAAATTACTTGAGGTAGTGATGAAATGTATTTATAGCACCTAAAACCTATTAATAATTTTACTTAGTATTCTTCGCATTTCTGTTACATGTTGTCTTATAATTTCTTCTGACATTGCCTTCAGTTTCTGTTATATGTTCATTGATAATATATTCAGGTTTTCTGAGTAAGCATTATTCAAATGATCGCTATTTCAGAAAGGCATTAATATTTCGAAATTAGTGGGAAGCGCACCTTTTTGTCTTATATGATAAAAATCGATTGCTTGCAATTACTTCTTTGCGAAAATTATTATTAAGCATAGTTTCTTTCTAAGATCAATAAATAACACAACTAGTGAGATGAATTGAATGAAAATTAACTAAAATTCACATTTGCGATTGATAATAATGTTGTGTTATGATTCGTTATTATTATTGACACATTTGCTTTAGTCCAAAGGGGCTTTGTCACTGAAGGACTATTAATTTCGTTTTGGCATTTTGCATCCTCCTCTCTAAAACGGCGTTTCATTTTTCAAATTGTTGACACCAAATATTTGAGCCCTGCATTATATTTAAAGAAATTAAATAATGAAGAATCTGCATGAATGTTTGTATGTTTCTCGCGCTGTGAAAAAGCAACGGTACCTAGAGACATCAAATTTTGAATACCGTAGTCCTCCATTAGAATATGGGCATCTGGAAGCCCATATTTGGAATTTGGAGTTTGTTTTATTACGTGTTTCATATTTTGTAAAGCTTTAATGAACTGTTTGTCAACACATTCAATTAAAGCGAGCATGGGCAGCACTGAACGAAAAAAAAAGCATTTTTTATCTCCAGCGCGCGAGACTGTGTCTTTTTGCTTAATATAAAATCTGAAGGCTTTCAGATTTTTTTTTTGTGACATTTGTACGTACGAGCAGAATAAGGGACTGCTTTTTCCAAAACGTATTGTAAAATGTATTTAAAGTATATTCAAAACGGATTTTTTTGCTACAACTGTACATACATAAGTACGTATGTATCTCGTATAACTCAACGTTTAGCTGTAGCTCGTTGAAATTTTGTATATGGAATTGCTATGATATCTAGTTGTGCATCTCCTTTTCTATTTCAATCGGCAGAACCGAACGATATACGTATATATATATATATATATATATATATATATATATATATATATTATAATAATACCCCCTATTCGGCTTGACAGTTCTTACTCCACCTTATTTCTTGCAATTTTTGGTCGTAGTCATATACTTTCAACTACTGAAGTATTTTGAATGGTGAAAGTATTCTTGTATTGGCAATGTCAAATTTTTTTAAAAAGTTCATTTTGGATAAGTAACGAAATTTAACTTTTAACGCCATCTCTTGTCCCTGTACTTATACTTGGAAAGGTTTTATAGTCGTTACGAAAATATAAAAGTAGACGTTTTACTCCTATACAACATAAAATGACTGCTGTATTTAATCCCAAATTTAAAATTTTTGATGTCATTTTCAACTTGCCTTGAGGGATCAGTTAATTCAGTTAGAATAATTCGAGTAAACAAGTTGAAATGAAGTGTATAAAAATGCGTATAATTCTGGCCGTGCAAGGAAGTCATGTGTCCATACAGACATTTTTTAACCTGATAAATATCTAAAGACATAGGGAATATGTAATTACACCGTTTCAGATGAGCAATTTATATTCGTGCTGAGAGCTTATAAAATATATATTCATTAAATAAATAATGTGTATAATTATAACGAATGGAAATCATATTTGTTTATTGAATGAAATGGACAACTGCTGTTGAGCGTCATCTAAATTTTATTCAAATAAACACAGCAAAACTTATATGCAATAAACCTGAACTTGAAGTGAAACAATGGGAAAAAGTAACCTTGAGTCAGTGAGCTTGAAAGTAAGTCATCTCCAGTTTCTTTCTGAATGAAATTTTCATCGTTTTTATTCTTTAAGTGTATATTTTATAAAGAGAACAAGCGATATTTTTGTATGTTGTGCAGACATAACGAGCTGTGATGTATCTATTTATTTCAGGAGTATTTAATATCTAAAACTGGATTATATTGCACTACGACAAAACACTTGAGGAAAAGGAAGCTTTTTAAAGCGAAACTGGTTCAGATTCACATTAAACTTCAGGAAAATAACGAAAACTGCCATGCAAAAGTGCGTTTGCTGGGATTTGAACTCCCGTCGAACTACCAGTGTTCAGCGACATTCCCGCTCAATGTATCTAGGGGCTGTCATAGCTAAGATATAATTTTCAAGCACCTATTGTTGTTGACAGATTATGTTTATCAAATTATGTGTTTTACATATAAATTTCCAAGGAAACGGTTAATTACCGGAATTGAAAACATCAGAGTTTGCAACAACTTTTAAAACAATATTTTAGATATATACCCCAGATATCAGATATCACATACTTGCGTATTATCGCAAGCTCCTTAGTAAAAGTTTCCAGATTTTCAAAAGTCGCGAAAATCTGGCAACCATTCGCATAAAAGTTCTTTAAAATGACCATATCCATTGTATGCTGCATTCCGAAAATTCACGGAATCACCATTTTTTTCCTTAAAATTCGCCAAGCTGCGCCAGGCTTGTTGCGTTAATATATAAGCACTTTTTAATATTATTAGAGATGCAAAAACAAAAGTAATTACTTAGTTACTGTAGATAGCCTTATAAGGCATTTGCTTCCTCCTTTCTTCATGCCTTCGTAGTGGAACACTAGCACACTCGGGGCATATTCGAGAGGTCCAGGTTCAAGTCCCGGTGAGGGCACTGCTCACTTTTCAGATCTTCTGCTTCAAAAAATTCTAATGACTCAGCTGTGGCGTCCAAACTAAAAAGTGGTGACTATTGATTCTTCACTAGCAGGAGTTTCGCGATCGGGTACCCTAATTTTCCAGTCGCCCTTAAAAAGGGGTAGTATAAAAAATATTTCCTCCCTCCTTTCTGCATGTCTTCGTGGTGTAACGGTAGCACGCTCGGCCGGTATTCGAGAGGTTAAAAAATGATTTAACTGCTATAAATGGAATTTAAATAGTGCGCGTAATATTTCTGTTCCATAAGCGCTAACGTTTAAGATATCTGATTATGATTAAAAGATTGTTTTGTCTCATACCATCGATTTCCTCTATAAAAAACAATAAAAAAATTCTGAAAGCTTTCAGATTTTACATTACGCTCAAAGCCACTTTCTTTCACGTTTTGTGTGTTACCTTTATTTATTAAATATCATGTTCACTTAAACCATAAAATTCAGTTCGACAGCAATATCGCAAAATAATTTTAAAATGAGCATATCTTTAATATTTCTAATACATAGTTTCGCGCGCTGGAGATAAAAAAAAGTTTTCTTTTTTCCGTACAGTATTGCTATTGCTCGCTTTGAAATTGTTGAGTTTGTTAATCAAAAATTCGTTAAAGTTTTTAAAATATGAAATCGATAATAAAATAAATTCCAAATTCCAAATGTACGTCATTCAAAATTTGATGGCTCTAAGTACCGTTGTTTTATCACAATGCGAGAACTAGATATACATTTATGCAAATTCTTCAT